TTTATAATAACCAAATCGGTGCAATCATCCCCTTATTCTTGTTGGATTTAACTAATCTTTTTGTACAGTTCACGATTTTCTTTCGAATAAAATAATTGTGTCCAGTAACCTTGTACATGGGCCAAACAAAAGAAATTATTGATATTAATTCATTTTATTATATCTCCTTTTAGTGACAAAAGTAATCTGTTATAATTGCTAAGAGTTTTACTCTCAAGTCAGGGATCAAAATTTATATCAATCTTAATACATACATACATATATCATTACCTCAATTTCATATGTCACTCACTACAAGAGATGTTTGGGCCAAAAAGAAAGTCTGACAAGAACAAACAGAGATTAGGAGACATGATCTTATCAACCTGGAAGGAAAAATAGTAAAAATGAAACAAAACACAAAGAGATCGACAAGAGTAATTAACCTCAACAGGCCAGGGAAGAGCGAACAAAAGAACAGAAAACGAAAAATAGGAAAGAAATGAAGGACAAGAAATCATAATCTGATCGAGAGGTCACGCAAACATGACATCACGACAAAGACCAGAACGGTTGTTCTTATCCGAATCAATTTCTTAGTTGATTTTCGCTTCGGTCGCTACCTCCAAATATCACAGGGTCACAATCCATCGTCGACGCTCTGTGCCTGGGTGTTCCTTTAGATTCAAGCTTCCCTGGAAGGAGATCGGTGGCGGTTGGAAATTGGAAATTGTCCGTATGATTCTTTGCTCTAAGTTCGATTTGTTGTTCTCTTTTGCATGCAAATTTTAGCCAAAGCGTTTCTGAGTTTTTTTTAACAATGAATTGGATGTTGATCGCGATTCATGCAGGTTCTAAGTAGCTGGCTAAAAATTTGATTTGAGTAAGTACCCAGAATATTTAGCATATTTATCCAGCTACTGTAATATTTAGTTTGTGGCTGAATCTTGATTTAGGTAATCGAAAGTGACAACAACTTTCATGTACATTCACCATAGCACAAGAAGTATGAGCATATTTTTTGAATGATACAGTGGACTTTATTTGGCAATGAATAAACAGGCAACAAAATTGCGCGAGTTCGGCGAAGAAAGCGAACTCTTCGCCAATCTGTAGAAGAGTGGTCAACGAGGACCTGGTGATGAAGCACTCCGACCAGCTAAACTCCGTCGTCAGGTACCGGTCACGTCGAGACGTGCCTCAGCCTTTCTACATGCAGCTCCATGCTACCACCGTCACCATGTGCCCTTCATGCTAGTGCGTCACCACGGCCAACACCTCCGCCGCTTTCGTCGCTCGCGCATCCACCTCCCCCAGCCCAATCACCATCGTGGTGGCTGTTGCCACAGACGACACCAACAATTCATCAACAACATTGTCTTTCGGTAAACCTGGCGGTGGCGGTGAAAAAAATGGCAGCAACAGTATTGTGTGCATCAGCTCCACAGCAACAGCAACAGCCTCAACCTACCCAACCAGTCGCGTCATGACTCAAAAAGGAAGGCTACAGCTCCTGATAAACCACATGAAATGGTTGGGGATAATAACAATGAATTCCATGAAATGACCATCCCATGAACAATTATGCAACTGTAGAAGAAACAAGTAGAAAAAAAAAAGAACGAAAGAGCACCCAACGACTCGAGAAAGGAAGAAAATTGTGAGAATCCCCTTCAAAGATATGAACGATTTTATAGGAATGGAAATGGACAGCTATGTGATGATACCCATTCATATTGTAAGAAGATAAAATAGTGAAGAAGACCCAAGCATAGTGTACGTCCCTTTCATATTGAATACAAGAAGATAAAATAGTGAAGAAGACCCAAGCATAGTGTGCGTCCCTTTCATATTGAATACAAGCAGACAAAATAGAGAAAAACTCACCTAGTCGCGTCCGCAGGGGAGAATCTCCTCCTTAGCTACAGTTCGCTTCCGTTCAAAATTATATGTTATAATGAAAGCATTTTATACCACCACAAATGGATTAATCTTTTACAAATAGAGAGGAAGTTACAAACGGTGGCTAGAAGGAGCCCATTGCCGAAATACTCACCCGAAATCACTAAAAAAAACGGTTGTTCCACACCTCTAATCATTCACAATTGTAACTGTGGATAGTTACTCAAAAGTCAAAACTTTCTATTCGGCCAACCCAACCTGTGTGAAAACTGAAAAGACTCAATCCGTGCCTCAATCTGATTTTTTTACCTGTCCAATTACTTACTATAGGTAGTTTGACTTTCTTGAAAAGGAAAAGATGGCAAATGATGATTGTTGATATTGCTAATGTAATCATCTTCTTTTTGGTTTTCAATGAATTCCTGTTCTATGTTAGGAGCCAAATCAAAAGTGGTGGAGTTGGTATTTTGCCTTGGGTGGCCATGGAAGGAATCAAAAAGCCTTTCGAGATCTCTCTTTTTTGTCCATTCTCTCTTTACTCCTTTAGGCTGCCAATTGAAACTTTACCTTAGATGCTTCAATCTGCCTCTTTACCCCATTTATATGTTTTCTATTCTTTCTTCAAATATGGGGACTGGAATCCCAAACCTTGGAGTGAGAGAGGAATTAGAAACTCTACCATCTTCAGTGTGTTTAGGACTGATATAAGATACCATTTCCAGACAATTTAACTTACTGGAATTAATTAGTTTTTTTGCACGATGTGAGTGGATTAATGTGCGACGTAATTATAATTTTTTCTTTGTTCATCAACAACTGTAGCTGTAGAAGGAATGGTTATGCTTATGTCGTCGAACTTGCTGCTGATTTGTTACAATATTTTTCTTGTCGCTTTGATTGTTTGATGCTTGTTCAATTAGGCTCACAACCCTCTGAATTCTTAGTCATGAAAGTGCATGACTTTGTAAATTCACTATCGAGGAAGAGACGAGGAGATATTCGACACATCCTACAAAATTTCTGTTTTATTTATGTTCGGGCATTTAACTAAAAAAGTATTGAAACGGAAAATCGTAAGCTAATAGTTTTCTCGCACAAACTGATAGCATATCCCGAATATATTTACACATATATGTAAAACTGTCCTAAAGCTAGTCCTCATATTGTTAGCGGTCAATCACCCCCTTCTCTTCTTTAACAAGTTATTAAGTTTGCATTTTTTATGTGACTAATAATAACAGGGGATTTGACCTGACCACCTAAGTGGGATGGAAATCATTATATGTGGTGTGGACACGCAGAACCAAACTATTATTTCTGTTTCCTATTTGTTTAGTTTTTCTTCAAAGTCAAAAAAGATATTCAGATGCAGAACACACAGTGGAAGGAAACAAAATTCCATAATAATAATTATTATTATATGTGTGGGAAAAAGAAACGGGAAAGAAATTAGGAAGGGAAAGCTCAACGGACTAGAAGAACACAACATGACTAGTCGCAGCAGCAACAACGAAAGTAAAGTTGTCCCATTTGGTCTGTGACAACTAACCGTTTAGTATTGTTGGTTGTTTTTGTTGTCTGTTGTGTTTTATGAAATTTGGAAAACCAAGAAAAAAAATCGTGTTTAATTGGGTTTTTATTTTATATTGTGAATCAGATTTGCACAACAAGGCCCAAATATGAGAAACAACAGTTTATTGCTTTGGATTTGATTCTTAAACATGTTGCACATGGAATTCCTATTGGTTGGGCGCTTGATTTCATTAAATCAGTCCAGTTTTTGAATCCCCACAGAAGCAATTTTTTTTTAACACATAGGAACAAACCCCAAACCCTACTTGAACATAAAAGCCCCCAACCCTTCCATTTTCTCAAAACAAAGCAGTCTATCCCCCTCTGCGCCGCCTGCCTCACCTCTGCCTCCCCACCTACGGGTTGCGTCGCGAGTCTTTTTTTTCCTGATTTTTAGTTCTTATAGTAGTAACTAAACGCGTTTTTGTTTCTTGTTGCCAGCTTTCATGATTTTTCAGATTTATCAACTAAACAGGTTTGTGTTTTCTGTTTTTTTCCTGTTGTGGTTGTACACCTGTTTACACAACACTACCGCAACCACAACAACAACAAATGATACTAAACGGGCTAAGTGAACTAACTAATAAACTAACCCCATCCCCATTTCCCACTGATAATAATAACTAATAAATAATCAGACCCAGGCATTGGCACAGATTGGCAATGGTGGCAAGCCCCACACCATTGATGTATACACCTTCCGGTCACTGTTCATAGTTTTCATAAACAGCATGCACTGTTCATCTAGCAGCTGAAAACGCAATCAAATAGTGATATTAAATGCATGAGGACACCATGGTAAGTGCATGAAGATCCCCACAATTACGATTTCTATGTAATAGGGGGATTCTTGGAAACTGAGGATTTGGTTGGGAATTGGAGTTCATATACAGTTTGAATGAGACAAGAAAATTGCCCTGATCTTCCTGCCTGTGATGGGTTGTTTGCAAATTGCAATAAACTAATTTTCTTCTAGTTCCCAAAATTATATATATACTAACTAATAATAAAGAAAACATACAGCAGAGAATCTGGATATGGGGATGGATGACAAATTGACAGCCCAATGGTCAGAAGAAACGTAGCCTTCTTCCAGTTCCAAGTTCCAACTAGGACAGCGGGCAGGGCACAAAAGGAATTTCATTAATCATTCTTGGATAAACAAATGCTGGCAAAAACTTGCTATAGATAATACGACTTCTCGAGGCAAGGCTGCCTGTCACATGCATGATGATGATGATGATGTGCATATCCAGCAACTTCAATCATCAATTTGATCATGCAATTCGAGCACGAATAAGAATGATTAGGTCGATCATGCGGTCATGGTATCAAAATGTTGTCACGAAATCAAGGGGGTGATGAACTGATGATTAATAAGCTTATGAAATTATACGAGAGATTGCATGATTTCAGACGACTCCTTGTTTCGTCAGGATTCAGCGCGCGTATTTATGCCTGCGGCGCATGTTTCAAAGTACATCATCATGTCATGTGTTCTTGAAATGTTTAGGAGTTGTTGTTGTTGTTGTTGTTGTTGCCAGGCCACGCTTCCTCCTCATGTATTGGCATTGCTTCATGGTGACAGCTTCCCGTCAAGGTAAGTTATGTAACTGCAAGGTTTTGAGGAGCTAATAATACAGCTTAAAAAAAGTGGATTACTTGCAGTTGCAGATACCAGCCAGCTATAATCCATGAAACAACAGTAAGTATCGGTACAAATGTAAAATCTCTTTCATTACATCAGAGGGTTGCTGTCCATTGTAGTATGAAGCAAAGAAAATAACAGGACTCCGTTTGTGACAAGTTACTTCCTTGCTAGGAGGAAGGTTGGTTCTAAGTACAGCTAACCAGAGGTCCTGTCGCCACCAAAACCGGACTCCAGGAATCCCTTTAGGTTGAGATGGCTAACATCACCCCAAGATTTTATGGTCCACTCGTCTCCATCGGATATGTGAAAGATGTGGACAGAAGTATTGAGTATCTTTGCAGGCCTCCCGCTAGGGCAAGCTCGCTTGTGTAGCGATCTGATGGTGCCTCCGTGACTCACCACAACCACTCGCTCACCTGCAAGTTAAACACATGGTTAGAGCGATATTAAAGTGATAGCTGGACAAGGATCATTGAAGTTGATGGTAGAGGTTTCCTCCTAGGACCAGGAATTTAACAGGCAAAAAATAGACTACTCAAAAGTCAAAAGTACTAATTCTCTGTTATTTTCATGCGTTACTTCTTGTACCAACGTCTGCTACTCAAGTGTACTACTTTGCAAGTACTCGTGAGCTTTCTATGTCGGGCTTTCTAGCTTCTTGTGCTAACAATTAAGTGTCAATATACATCCGGAACTGAGGAAGTCATTGCATCCACATATATTATGAAGATAAGAAAGCATAAATCTATTAGAGAGTAGTAATGATCGGCAGTTTACCTCTGTGCTTTGCTGCAATTCTTTGAAATGAAGATGTGGAACGCTCATATAGTTTATCAAGACTTTCACCACCGCCCTGTGTATGCAGGAAAATGCATCACAGGAGATCATTGGCAGAAAACAAATTTATTAAGCTGTATCTCGCACGCTTTACATACTAATCAACTCTAGATCCTACTTGTTCCGTGAACACATGATTATATATTACTGTTTAAGTGTCAACAGAAAGTAATTCTACAGGTCAAAATGACTTGATTCACACTACAAGACAGGCATCCTTGGGGACTGCTACAGAATTCTGTGCAATTAACCTATCTACATAAGCGAAGGTGTTAGTTTCAAACTCGAACCATAGCAATGTGAACTCAGGCAGGTTCAAGCTTACAGGACATTCCAATATACAACTATCCAGTAAAGGGATAGGAAAAAAAGAAAAAAAAACTCTGAACATAGTAATGGACATGAGGCATACAGGGATTTCTTGGCTGGTTTTGTGGGATAAAAATGCCTCATATGCTTCCGGAGAAGCTTTGGCAGCTTCACTTAACGAAAGGCCTTGTAGATCCCCTAAATGCCTTTCTCGTAGCCCTGGTTCCTTGATGACCTGGAAGCTTTAGGGAATCAGCAAAACTAGGTGTACCATATGAGAAATGAATAGAAGCCAACACAGAATCTCATCGATATCAAGAGGATAACTGAGTATAGATAATTCAGCAATCAGCACAGAGCAAACATATCCTTCTGATTGTTGCCTTAAGAAGCCCAAGTTGAAGAAAGCTGTGGCAGCATTCATACCTCAATACTACCACATCTATCAGCAATTGCTTGCGCCGTGTCAAAAGCTCGTTTCAAGTCGGATGAATATACAGCAGAAACCTTACACTCTCTGGATAGTCGATCAGCCACCTTAAACAATAAACAAAAAACTTCGATTCATCAAGTGGGTATTATGCATCTCTCATAAGCACCAAAAAGGATAAGCAATAGATTAGGACACAAACATTTACCAAAGCAGCTTGTTGTCTCCCAACTTCATTCAGGTCAACATCGACATGTCCCTGTAGTGTGTGCAAGAGTCAGACTCCATTAGGTCCCCCCATAAGACAACGAGGCCGAGGGGACACAATTGAAACAGACTACAGAGGGTCAATTTCCATCCAAGAACACTGTATTTGTACAAGTACGCTGGTTATTCTGAACATCAAAAAGTAAGAAACTTTGCCAGAACCTCTACGATCAACCACCAACTAGCGATCAATTACATCAAAATTTCTAGCAGCTCCAATACTCGACCCCAACACATGATCGCTACAAGACTTATCGACTACACGAGTGCTAGAAAGAAAAGCTAACCTGAATCCTTTTATCAGCATTCCACTCCGTCTCGCCGTGACGAACGACGACGATCTCCGTATAAGCCGGATGAGCAGAGCTGCCATTACCATAAAAAAAAAAAAATTCACCCAAATTCGAACTAAAAATCCAGAGCGGAAATAGGGATAGAGAGACAGAGGAATGAGAAGAAGCACGATGTTGGACCTGGGAATGGAATTGGAGTCCGTCATGGATACCGACTCCGGCACGTCCGTTTCGACGAAGAGAATCGGTCGGCGACCCGATCGGCGGCGAACAGATACCAGACGTGGCGTGAAGCTTCCGGCGACGGGGAGTGTCAAGTGCCGAAGAAGGGTAATGGAGTGACGCGGAGGAAATGCTTGGCGCGGCAGTTGTATAGTGCCACAATTGCGCAGTGTGGTCATCTGGGCATAGATTCGCCCATTTCGCTCCTGTTGCTGGGTTTTCGCCTTCTCGGCCTTCTTGTAGAACTGAATAATTATATCAGACGTCAAATTTTCTCTTTTCTTTCCCCTGGTATAACTTAACTGGGCTTGGGATTGGGCTCGGGCTCAGCTAACCTTTTTCGGAATAACTAATTTTTTGGTTAAAGACACATTTGGTCACTGATATTACAAAATCGGGACATGTTTAGTCACTAGAAAAAATTAATATCAAATTTGGTCACTACAATTACTAAAACTGGAGACATTTAGTCACTCGCCGTTAGTCTCCGTCCAACTCCGTTAATGAAGTCCGTTAAGTGATGATGTGGCAAACAGAATTGCCTAATCAGCCGGATATAACCCAACAAAAATAAAACCCGACCCGCCACGTCATTATAACCCGCCACGTCATTTAACCCAACCCAACGCAACCCATGACCCAACCCCACCCAACCCTTCTTCCTCCTTCCTCTCACCTCCTTCTTTCCCCAAATTCGAATTCAATCCAGACATCAAAACGAATTCAATCCACACATAAGGGAAATCGAATCGACAGAGAATAAAGTAAAAAAAAAACCTTGTTGCCGTCGTCGAAGGGGACGGGCCTGGAGAGGAGAGCGTAGATGTCCTTCTTCTTCGACAAGTCCCTGTGGCGGTCGGGAGGCAGCAAATCGAGCAGATCCAGGTAGTTCCTCGGTAGCTTCTTCTCCCAAACGGAGTCCGACGACGCCGCGCCGCGGAACGCGTGGTTGAGGCGCGCGAGGTTGCAAATCTCCGGCGGCGTCAAGTAGGTGAAGACGCAGGCCACACAGCTCTCCGGAATGTCGCCAAGCCCTGGCCCTATGGCGGCGCCGTTCGCACCTTCCGTCAGGTTCGATAGCGACGCATCCATACCCACCCTCCCCTCCCTCTCCCGCCGGAAAATGACGTCAGGCGGAACGATCAGTTCAACTAATTCTGCGTTTCTACCTTCTTCTTATTGTTGCTCGTGCTTGCTTGTGTGGGTTCTCAGGCCATTGGCGAATGGGAGTGTTGGGTTGGTGAGAAAAGTGCAGGAGGTTCATGAGGAAAATGTTTATACTCGAGCTCTTCAGCTTAAAGAGGATGAAGGCGTTTCGTTTTGTTCGGGAGGAAGAAGTTGGCCTGCTGATCGACTCCATCTCTGAAATATCAGCATCTGCCTCCACAATGATCAATGAACACCTAAGCCTGGAAGGGAAGGAGCTGAAGAAGACATGATCAATGTGCTGCTGGCAATCGAGAAGGAACAATATCAATTACTCGGTGAGAGGAAGGAGGAAGAAGGGTTGGGTGGGGTTGGGTCATGGGTTGGGTTGGTTTAAATGACGTGGCGGGTCGGGTTTTATTTTTGTTGGGTTATATCCGGCTGATTAGGCAATTCTGCTTGCCACATCATCACTTAACGGACTTCATTAACGAAGTTGGACAGAGACTAACGGCGAGTGACTAAATGTGTCCAATTTTAGTAATTGTAGCGACCAAATTTGATATTTTTTTTCTTCTAGTGACTAAACATGTCCCGATTTTGTAATCTCAGTGACCAAATGTGTCTTTAACCCCTAATTTTTTTGAATTTTGGTTGCAGCGGGTAGGGGCTAGTGCCTAGGGGTAGGGGTAGGGGTAGTGGAGGGAAAACTGATATCTGCTTCCTGTACTGCCTCTTCGCTACTCTCACTTCACCGCCCCTCTCGTTTTTATTTTTTCTCCCTTCTCGTTTGCTTTCTCAACAAAAACCCTAACAAACCGCTATTAGTCTTCACTCTTTCTTTCTCCATTTTATCTCATTTCTTGCTCTTCGTTGCTGCTGAGATCCAGAGTTCATCGTCATTTCCACGTCCGATCGATCGATCCATCTTCCTTCACCAGAAGTTTCAAGGTGAGATCTACGAGCTTCGCTTTCTCCAGTGAGATTTCCGTTTCTCATTCTTCTTAGAATCCGGTTTCTGCTCTGTTTTCCGGTTTCTGCCTGGCCGTCAACTTTGTTCGTGCTCGTTAGCGAGATCCCGTTGTTATATAGGTCATCGTCGATTTCCTTTGTTGAGTCTTGTAGTTTGATTTCCGAGTTCCGTTGTTTTTGCATTCGTCGTTGATTTCAGTTTCTGCTCCGTTTTTTTGGTGTCTCTGCTTAGCTTCTGGATTTTATTACGTGATTGAAGAACGAGAATCCTCTTGTACTGTTCGTTCGTATAAACTTGTGCTATCCGAATGCTTTTGTTTGTGTCATCATCGCATCGGCTCCTGGAATTCGATTCCTGCTGCTCGTTTCTTTCCATTTCCTCGCAACTCCTCTTCCTGTGGTTTCCCTGATTCTTGGCAAGTATATTTGGTTGAACGAACGAGATTAGGTTTTGGTGATATAGGAACGCCAATTTTGCCATTCTTTCTATCTATCCAATTCGATTACTCGTCTCGTCTCTGTTTCCTGAAATTCAATTGTTATTGCCTTATTGGTGTTGCTTTCGATTTTGAGACAACTCTTATTCTAATTTGTGTGTTGTTCTATGTAAGAAGGCCCATGTATGTATGGTACTTAATTACTTCCTTATCATTCTGGGGATTTTGATTCTTCATGTAGTTTGTTTCATTTCTGTGTCGTTCTAGGCCATAGATTTCTGTGTGGTAATAGGTGTTTTGATTCCTCTTGTAGTTCGTTTAATCCTTGTGTTGGTCCAGGTGTTTGATTTCTGTGATTGTGATTGTGATTGTGATTGGAAAATGTATGTTGCAGATGGAGACAAGTCTGAAAGCCCTGATTTATCAGTTTTGGGACAAGAAGACTCTGTCTGTATGACCTTGCAATTGCCAAGGGTGGTTCTGAGGAAGCTGAAAGGGAGGCTGATAATGTTGCAACAGATATTGAGAACATCGCAAGGGCTATCAAAGCCAAACCGCTAGATTACTTGGAGGAAGGGACATATACTACAGGACAAATCAGTGTGCTCAATGCTCTAGGAGTAGCCATATACAACGAGGATGATCGTGCAAGGACTGGATTCCATTTGGGTATTGTTTCAAATTGTCTTAAATGGGACTAGAACATGGTTGACAGATGCTTTATAGAAATAGTTAAGGTCCTTGGAGACCTCTGATATGATACAACAGATTCGAATCTGATTCCACATATTGAAAAGTATATATAATATAGTCTCCCTTGCTATGTGTTTGGTCATGTAATTCCAACGTTTATACGGAATTGTTTGCATCTTGTATGTCTTTAGGTGAATTTCCACCCTCCACGAGCTCGCGGATGCATTGGAGAAGAAATATCACCGGGAGAGTGAGATAAGGCGGCTAGAGGTGAAGCTTGAAATATACAAAAGTAGGAAAGAGGCCAAGTAAGTATTGAGTCGGTGTTTTACAGTTTACTACTTAGTAATGGCGATACAGTTTACAATTGTTTAAAACATGAGACTATGAGGGTGTTTACTTTACTGTAAGTAGATATATTGATTTCCTCCTCTTGGTAAAATAAAAGTAGAATTATTATCAAACAAAATAAAACTACAATTGTTTGATAATTAATTGTACTTTTATTTTGCCAAGAGGAGGAAATCAATATATCTACTAACAGTAAAGTAAACACCCTCACAGTCTCATTTTTGAAACAATTGTAAACTGTACCGCTATTACTAAGTAGTAAATGGTAAAACACCGGCTCAATACTTACTTGACCACTTTCCTCCTCTTGTATATTTCAAGTTTCACCTCTAGCCGCCTTATCTCCCTTTCCTGGTGATATTTCGTCTCCAATGCATCCGCGAGCTTGTGGATGGTGGAAATCCACCTAAAGTAATACAAGATGCAAACAGTTCAGTATAAACGTTGGGATTACATGACCAAACACATAGCAAGGGAAATTATATTATATATACCTTCCAATATGTGGAATCAGATCCGAATATGTTGTATCAAACCGGAGGTCTCCAAGGACCTTATCTATTTCTGTAAAACATGTGTGTCAACCCTGTTCTCGTCCCATTTAAGACAATCTAAAACAATATCCAACTGGAATCTAGTCCTTGCTTGCATGGTCATCCTCGTTGTATATGACTGCTCCTAGAGCATGGAGCACACCGACTTGTTCTGGGGTATATGTCCCTTCCTCCTTCAAGTAATCTAGCAGTTTGGCTTTGATAGCTCTTGCGATGTTCTCAATATCTGCTGCAACATTATCAGCCTCTCTTTCAGCTTTCTCTGGTCTGAACCACCCTTGGCAATTGCAATGTCATACAGAGCCTTCTTCTCCCAAAACTAATTTAAGGCTCGATTGGAGCAATATGTCAAGTCGTAATTAATCACGGTTGAACTACGATTATACCGTACTGGCGGCCCAATCGAAAAAATCCTAACAGAATCTAAATCGTTGGTGATTTTAATGGTATGAAATTATTTAACGACGGTTGCACTACGATTTAGCTCAAAATGCATAATCCTAACTCTTTCGATACAACCGTCGATATGGTTTTACAATTTTTTTATTTTTTTTTTAAGATGCATCAAGGCTTGGGTTGGAGCAAATTTTCAAGCATGATTTAACGAGTATTCAACTATGATTTTAGCACAAAATACCCTAATGCTAACTATTAGTAGTGTCCGTGATTGTGAATCTGGTTTGGCCCGTTAACCCGGTCGAGTTAGTAGGTCAAGGTAAGTTATGTAACTGCAAGGTTTTGAGGAGCTAATACCGCTTAAAATAGGCTATTACTTGCAGCTACAGATACCAGCCAGGCAGCTATATTCCATCAAACAACAGTAAGTACCGGTACAGCTGTAAAATCTCTTCCATTACATCAGAGGGTGGCTGTCCATTGTAGTATGAAGAGGAGAAGAGAAAAAAAAGACTCTATAGTGACAAGTTACTTCTTTGCTAGGAAGAGGGTTGGTTCTAAGTGCAGCTAACCAGAGGTTCTGTCGCCACCAAAACCAGACTCCAGGAATCCTGTTTGGTTGAGATGGCTAACATCACCCCAAGATTTTATGGTCCACTCGTCTACATCGGATATGTGAAAGATGTGCACAGAAGTATTGAGTATCTTTGCAGGCCTCTCGCTAGGGCAAGCTCGCTTGTGTAGGGATCTGATGGTGCCTCCGTGACTCACCACAACCACTCGCTCACCTGCAATTTAAACATGGTTCGCGATATTAAAGCGATAGCTGGACAAGGATCGTTGAAATAGATGGTACATGTTTCCTCCTAGGACCAGGAATTTTACAGGCAAAAATAGACTACTCAAAGTCAACAGTACTCGTTCTCTGTTATTTTCATGCGTTACTTCTTGTACCAACGGCTGCTACTCAAATGTACTACTTTGCAAGTACTCGTGAGCTTTCTATGTCAGGCTTTCTAGTTTCTTTTGCTAACATTTAAGTGTCAATATGCATCTGGAACTGAGGAAGTCATTGCATCCACATATTATGAAGATAAGAAAGCATAAATCTAGTAGAGATTAGTAATGATCGACAGTTTACCTCTATGCTTTGCTGCAATTCTTTGAAATGAAGATGTCGAACGCTCATATAATTTATCAAGACTTTCGCCACCGCCCTGTGTATGCAGGAAAAGGCATCACTTGAGATTATTGGCAGAGGACAAAGTTATTAAACTGTAGCTCGCATGCTTTATGTACTAATCAACTTTACACCCTACTTGTTCTATGATTACAGGAGTATGTATTACTGTTACCACAAAGTAATTCTAAAGGTCAAAAAGTTCTAATTCACACTATAAGACAGACATCTTTGGGACTACAGCAGAATTCTATGCAACTAACCTATCTACATGACTACATGTACGAAGGTGTTAGTTTCAAACTTGAACCATAGCACTGAGAACTCGGGCAGATTCCGCTTACAGGACATTCCAATATACAACTATCCAGTAAAGGGTTAAGAAAACTCCGAAAATAGTAATGGACATGTAGCATACAGGGATGTCTTGGCTGGTTTTGTGGGATAAAAATGCGTCGTATGCTTCTGGGGAAGCTTTGGCAGCTTCACTTAACGAAAGGCCCTGTAGATCCCCCAAATGCCTTTCTCGTAGCCCTGGTTCCTTGATAACCTGGAAGCTTTAGGGAATCAGCAGAACTAGTGTACCAGATGAGAAATGAATAGAAGCCAACACATAATCTCATAAAACAAAATGGTTGAAAGTTACAACTGTGAAAAACACTGGATATCAAGCGGATAACCAAAGGGAGTGTAGATAATTCAGCGCAGAGCAATATTACTAGTCAAACAAGGCAGACCAAGTGTTACATATATCCTTTTGATTATTGCCTAAGAAGCCCATGTTGAAGAAAGCTGCGGCAGCGCTCATACCTCAATACCGCCGCATCTATCAGCAATTGCTTGCGCCGTGTCAAAAGCTCGTTTCAAGTCGGAAGAATATACAGCAGAAATCTTAGACTCTTTGGATAGTCGATCAGCCACCTTAAACAACAAACAGAAAACTTCCATTCATCAAGTGGGTATTATGCATCTCTCATAAGCACCAAAATAATAAGCAATAGATTAGGATACAAACATTACCAAAGCAGCTTGTTGTCTCCCAACTTCATTCAGGTCAACATCGACATGTCCCTGTAGTGTGTGCAAGAGTCAGACTCCATTAGGTCCCCCCATAAGACAACGAGGCCGAGGGGACAGAATTGAAACAGACCATTTTCAGGGTTCCAATCAAGAAAATGGCCCCATAAAAATGGTTATTCCGATTCTGAACATCAGAGAGTAAGAAACTTTGCCAGAAGCTACGATCAAACAACCAATAGAGATCAATTACATCAAGTTTCTAGCCGCTCCATTCATAGACTCCAACACATGATCGCTAGAAAACTAATCTCGACTACACGAGTGGGAGAAAGAAAGCTAACCTGAATCCTTTTATCAGCATTCCACTCCGTCTCGCCGTGACGAACGACGACGATCTCCGTATAAGCCGGATGAGCAGAGCTGCCATTACCATAAAAAAAAAAAATTCACCCAAATTCGAACTAAAAATCCAGAGCGGAAATAGGGATAGAGAGAGAGAGGAATGAGAAGAAGCACGATGTTGGACCTGGGAATGGAATTGGAGTCCGTCATGGATACCGACTCCGGCACGTCCGTTTCGACGAAGAGAATCGGTCGGCGACCCGATCGGCGGCGAACAGATACCAGACGTGGCGTGAAGCTTCCGGCGACGGGGAGTGTCAAGTGCCGAAGAAGGGTAATGGAGTGACGCGGAGGAAATGCTTGGCGCGGCAGTTGTATAGTGCCACAATTGCGCAGTGTGGTCATCTGGGCATAGATTCGCCCATTTCGCTCCTGTTGCTGGGTTTTCGCCTTTTCGGCCTTCCTGTAGAACTGGATTCGGCTGAATAATTATATCAGACGTCAAATTTTCTCTTTTCTTTCCCCTTTTCTGGTATAACTGGGCTTGGGATTGGGCTCGGGATCGGGCTCAGCTAACCCTTTTCGGAATAACTATTTTTTTTGAATTTTGCAGCGCGTAGGGGCTAGGGCCTAGGGGTAGGGGTAGTGGAGGGAAAACCGATATCTGCTTAGCTTCTGAATTTTATTACGTGATTGAAGAACGAGAATCCTCTTGTACTGTTCGTTCGTATAAACTTGTGCTATCCGAATGCTTTTGTTTGTGTCATCATCGCATCGGCTCCTGGAATTCGATTCCTGCTGCTCGTTTCTTTCCATTTTCTCGCAACTCCTTTCCCTGATTCTTGGCATGTATATTTGGTTGAACGAACGAAATTAGGTTTTGGTGATATAGGAACGCCAATTTTGCCCTTCTTTCTATCTATCCAATTCGATTACCCGTCTCGTCTCTGTTTCCTGAAATCTAAATCCAAATCTAAACAATATATTATGGAGGTTCTCCTCCGTCATCCCCTTAATCTTAATTTTCCCGGCTCCAGCGCATACCACGGAAGGGGGCTTTTGTCATTTCAATTTCACTTATTAAATTAAGGTCTAATCACTTAAAGGACGAATAGTTTAATTTATATGGGCTTGGGTACTTATTTCCAGCTTGCTAACTAATAATTAGTCAGTATATGGGCTACCATCCACCATGTCCATGCATTTTAGGTTAATCCATTAAACGAGACACTTGCAAAGTGCAGGTTGCGAGAAAACCACCATTTTCATAATCGGATCAGATGGTGAACCGGAAAAGTTAGTGGTTCGTGCTTGAATGGTTAACTAATATAGAATTGTTGGTTAACCGTTGATAAAATCGTTCATGCGCTATAATATACAAGACATATATAATACACTAATTCATATTACCCAAACAAAGTTACAAATCCAAAGCTGAACTCATGAGTTCATTCCAATATATATACAACACACAAATAGTGGTTGAATTTAATAGGAATACCAAAAAATTATATTACCTTGCAATTGTATTCATGCTACACCTATCATAACTTTACAATTAAGTAACAATAATTGCTACAGACAATAGTGCTAAAAAGGCGGGATACATAATCATACACAATAATTGACTCTCACCCGAATACTATATAATCCATGTATTGTAGATATCATGCTACTCCCACCCAACACATCCATCCTTTCTCGATTGATTATCTGTTAGCTAATGAACTATTGCATGTATTCTATGATGACTGAGTGCCATTGTCCTTCTTCTTTTACTTTCACCAACAAGTCCTTATTCAAATGTTGTTGATGTCTTACTAAATTTAGTTTATTTTTCCTACTCACTATCCAGTTGCAATTGCCTCGTACTAACAGGGGCTAAGTAAAATAAAAATGGTGCATATGATCCGCTCAAAATTAAAGTTGTATTTATTCAATACTACAACAAATTTTCACCAAATCATAGCTAATTTGTAAAAATATTTTTATTATAATAAGGGATAGAGAGAGTGTAATGTGTTGCTCCATAGGACGAAAAATAAGTAAATTAGTATAATAGTTAATAGAGAATAAAATTTAGAGCACTTCTAATTGATAATTGTTGACCGAGAGATAATGTGTTTGAATCTTGGCGCTCCGATTTTTTAAGCACATGATATTCAAATTTGCGGAAATTTAAGCATGTATAAGTTGGTTTTCGTTAGCAGGTAAGTGTTAGTAATTAGTTAATACTAAATACAATAAATCTATTATTAAATCTTTCCCAACAACTCGAGTTACTGATACTAAACGGTCTTGACAAAGAACACCATTCAAAAGCAAATGTATATCTAAATCGTGAATAATTTTTTGATACATATAGAGTGATATTCTTGATAGTTTTGGCATATATTTAATTTATCATTTTTTTAAATACAAAATTAAATCATGAATGGTTTTAAAAAGCTAACAGGTTATTATGTATTGGTAGTAGAAATTAATATTTTCCAGTTCACGTATATTCATGGTGCAGGAGGATTAAATTGTATTTAAGTGCTACAATTTTTCAATCTTTGCTTTTATATTTACCTTAGTTTTAGGGTAAATAAAATCTATTAGTCTAAGCTTTCAAACTTTCCAAATTATTACAAAATATTAGTCAAATATTCTGTAACACATTAAAATATTAGTCATTTGTCTATTATCATTCGTAATTTTGTAACTATTTTCTTAGTCAAAATACTAAAATTTTGGATTCTTCATAAGGTTTCGAGGAAGTGGCTGGCAATCAATTCCAAGACATGTATTATTATTTCGCTCGGTATGATAGTTAATGACTTAAAGTGTAAACTAACAACAACCACGCGAATTCAACTCTATGATTTGATTTTTGAATTTTTTTAATATTCATACTTTTTTCTTCAAGATAATGATATTTGGGTGCAAATTCTCAAAGAAAAAATCAAGGACTTTCGTCCCCTGTTACATGACTTCAGAGTTTACATACTGTCATGACTTTATGGCCAGTATGACAACGAGAGGTTATAGGCCAATTCTAAATAAATTGGTCATCAGGTTTGAATCAAATACGAAAGCTAAAGCATGCAATGATATTCCAACCATACCAATTTGCAAGTCTAATTTCATTTAACAAGAAGTGCAAGCAAAGAAAATTTCGTTCAGGTTCGAATTACTATTCTCAATTCAAGTTTTCTTCAATCGAATGTGTATACAGCCAAAAACATTGATTAAATTTTTAAAATTTCAATTCCACAGATGTTGTTGATCAGCTTATTCAGTATCCAGATTTATTGACATCTAACACTCACTGGAAAAATTACCTACAAGGAGGCTCCAACTAAAACTTCCCAAGTATTTAGTTCCCTTTTCAATTTTAAAATAGCATGTATAACTTTAACACTAATCGCAAAAGGGTGTTGGGGATTGGTTGTCAAGATAATCTCTTTGGAACGATAGTCACCCAAGTAAATATCATCCTTGCAAATCCACGTAACTGCCCTCTCATCCTGGTCATTACATCATTACGTGTCGTTTCATACAACAGTAAGGAAACATCTTTATTACTTTGTCATTATTAATCAAACAATTTGAAAATGAATATGACATTTAATCACACGATGATCAAATTTGCATGCGAGAAAACCTTCTACTCAGAGCGACTTTGCTATTGGAAAATCCAATAATTCAGGAATCATTATATTTGGGGCAAGGTGAAATTCATTACAATTTAATCACTGTATTTGGTTGCATGCTATAAGTTTGAAGTTTCAAATAGAAAATGAATTAATTATCATCTTTTTTTGTAAAAAAGTGACCGAGATTGGCCAACTCTTCCAGTGAAAAGCTCGAAAGCACATCAACAACTAATTCCAATCAAAACAGTGCAAAAGCTAAATCAAATGAAGAAGTAAATATCAATTTCAATTTAACGGCTCATTAACTATCAAATGCTAACATTTTATGTAATAAGTATTCCTTAAAAAATCAAGTTGTCAAAGTTAAGAAGGATGATGTTATGCTGGATATTTAACCTGTCCACAGAAGTATTAGACTCTATTGTTGTTTATGTCATTACTAACATTATATACTTATTCAGGATCCACCATTGAGTTGAGGGCAAAACCACTATGGCTAACTTTTGGTGTTATGGATCAGGTGGGAGATGAATTTTTTGAAATGTCAACTAAAATTATATTCAAATACAACTATATAATGAGAGGATTACCAATTTCTCATGTCTTACAAACTGAGGGAATGATATTGAAGTTCTGTAGCAAGCTCACATATGACATTTCTAATCAATAAGCGAGTACACGATTTTCATGATTGGGAAGGATGAAAAGAGAATCACTCATACAGTCTTCCTGACTTGATCGAGGTAAATTATACTGAATATAATAATCAATATTAATTACAAATTTGTGATATTCTCTATTGAATTTGGAGTATATTTGGAACATGCACCCTCTGATTATTATTTAACAAACCTGCCTACCATGTTTACTTCTCACATGTTAATTTTGCAAGAAAATTAATTGCGTCTATTGTCCAGCAAAATAAATTGTTGTACACGGTATACCAGTTGTAAATTATACTTAATTATAGAATCGAGTATATAGCTCCTCAATTTTTATATCATGCAAAGATGATACTCAACTGTATTCTTTAACTTTGAAAAATGTATTTAATTGCACAACTTAAAACTTCAGAGGAACTTTCTTTATTACCCACTAGCATGCATATAATTGTATACTTGGTTGTATTATCAAGTGTATCAGTCTTTTATTTTTATACCATGCACAAATATAGGCCTTCAATTTTTAAATCATGCACAAATGACACTTAGTTGTATTCTTTAATCTATAGGCAAATGCATGTTGTTTATAACATAAATCTCCAGTAGAACTTTGCTTCCTTTCACACTAACATGCAAGCCATTGTATCGAGCTACAATTTTAACTCCAATATATTTTAAACACATATGATTCTACAAAATCACAAATATATTACACTTTTGAATGACAATGATCTTAATTCATAATGTTAATGTAAGAGAACAAGAATGATACGGTTAATGGTGGATGTACTAGATCTGATGCTAGAGATGACGGTTATCTTAAGCAAAGATATACATTGTTCATGAGGAAGATACAAGTACCAATTATGAGTAGAAAGAACAGATCTTGGATATTGTTCATAACTTGGACGAGGCAAATACTACTCCTTTTCTTTTTTGAAAGATGTAAATACTACTCCAATGAAAAAGATAATTGGTATTTGTAAAACGTTTACCATCAAATATTTGTGCTCAATAAAATGCAGGAAAACAAGGATGAGATCATTGAAATACAAGAGAGGAAAAAAAGAGGAAATTAATAATGGAGATAAATGTATAACTAATGAAGATGAAGATAAAGATAAAGATAAAGATATTAATATTGATGCACATGATGATGTTGCTCATGTTGGAGGAAGTGCAAACAAGTCAAAATGAAAATATGCATTAACTTTGATGATGAGGAGTAAATAGAAAGATGATTTTAAAATATCTTTAGGAGTCAGTCCAAATTTGCCTTTCATTTTCGTAAAAGGATTTAAGTTAATGAGTTAGTTGCGTACAATGTCGAAAAAATAATATTTACATATTTTCAATTGTTGAAGTGCTTTAATAGTTTGGATTCTCTTATTCTACCAAACAATTTGAATGTTTCAAATATTTGAATAATTTAGATTTGCTTATACTATCAAAACCCACGTATCTTACATACAATTAGATAATATTATTCATGTGATTGGCGACTGAATCCGGCCAACTGGCCGGGCCTGTGACTAGTTCAATTGTTATTGCCTTATTGGTTCGTTGCTTTCGATTTTGAGACAACTCTTGTTCTAATTTGTGTGTTGTTCTATGTAAGAAGGCCCATGTATGTATGGTACTTAATCACTTCCTTATCGGTATGGGGATTTTGATTCTTCCTGTAGTTTGTTTCATTTCTGTATCGTTCTAGGCCATTGATTTCCGTGTGGTAATAGGTGTTTTGATTCCTCTTGTAGTTCGTTTAATCCTTGTGCTGGTCCAGGTGTTTGATTTCTGTGATTGTGATTGGAAAATGAATGTTGCAGATGGAGACAAGTCTGAAAGCCCTGATTTATCAGTTTTTGGAGAAGAAGGCTCTGTCTGTATGACCTTGCAATTGTCAAGGGTGGTTCTGATGAAGCTGAAAGGGAGGCTGATAATGTTGCAGCAGATATTGAAAACATCGCAAGAGCTATCAAAGCCAAACAACTAGATTACTTGGCGGAAGGGACATATACCCTAGGACAAGTCGGTGTGCTCAATGCTCTAGGAGTAGTCATATACAACGAGGATGATCGTGCAAGGACTGCATTCCATTTGGGTATTGTTTCAGATTGTCTTAAATGAGACCAAAACAGGGTTGACACATGCTTTATAGAAATAGATAAGGTCCTTGGAGACCTCCGATCTGATACAACAGATTCGAATCTGATTCCACATATTGGAAGGTATATATAATATAATCTCCCTTGCTAAGTGTTTGGTCATGTAATCCCAACGTTTATACTGAATTGTTTGCATCTTGTATGACTTTAGGTGGATTTCCACCATCCACGAGCTCGCGGATGCATTGGAGAAAAAATATCACCGGGAGAGTGAGATAAGGTGGCTAGAGGTGAAGCTTGAAATATACAAGAGGAGGAAAGATGCCAAGTAAGTATTGAGTCGGTGTTTTACAGTTTACTACTTAGTATTGGCGATACAGTTTACAATTGTTTAAAAAATGAGGACGAAATGGATATAATTGCTATAAATTGTTTGATAATAATTGTACTTTTATTTTGCCAAGAGGAGGAAATCAATATATCTACTAACAGTAAAGTAAACACCCTCAAAGTCTCATTTTTGAAACAATTGTAAACTGTACCGCCATTACTAAGTAGTAAACGGTAAAACACCGACTCAATACTTACTTGACCTTTTTCCTCATCTTGTATATTTCAAGTTTCACCTCTAGCCGCCTTATCTCCATCTCCCAGTGATATTTCGTCTCCAATGCATCCGCGAGCTTGTGGATGGTGAAAATCCACCTAAAGTAATACAAGATGCAAACAATTCAGTATAAACGTTGGGATTACATGACCAAACACATAGCAAGGAAAATTATATTATATATACCTTCCAATATGTGGAATCAGATCTGAATCTGTTGTATCAAAACGGAGGTCTCCAAGGACCTTATCTATTTTTGTAAAACATGTGTGTGTCAACCCTGTTCTCGTCCCATTTAAGACAATCTAAAACAATATCCAACTGGAATCTAGTCCTTGCTTGCATGGTCATCCTCGTTGTATATGGCTGCTCCTAGAGCATGGAGCACACCGACTTGTTCTGGGGTATATGTCCCTTCCTCCTTCAAGTAATCTAGCAGTTTGGCTTTGATAGCTCTTGCGATGTTCTCAATATCTGCTGAAACATTATCAGCCTCCCTTTCAGCTTCATCTGGTCCGAACCACCCTTGGCAATTGCAATGTCATACAGAGCCTTCTTCTTCCAAGGCTCGATTGGAGCAATATGTCAAGTCGTAATTAATCACGGTTGAACTACGATTGTACCGTACCGGCGGCCCAATCGAAAAAATCCTAACAGAATCTAAATCGTTGGTGATTTTAATGGTATGAAATGATTTAACGACGGTTGCACTACGATTTAGCACAAAATGCCTAATGCTAACTCTTTCGATACAACCGTCGATATGGTTTTATAATTTTTTATTTTTTCTGAAGATGCATCAAGGCTTGGGTTGGAGCAAATTTTCAAGCATGATTTAACGAGTATTCAACTATGATTTTAGCACAAAATACCCTAATGCTAACTATTAGTAGTGTCCGTGATTGTGAATCTGGTTTGGCCCGTTAACCCGGTCGAGTTAGTGGGTCAAGGTAAGTTATGTAACTGCAAGGTTTTGAGGAGCTGATACCGCTTAAAATAGGCTATTACTTGCAGCTGCAGATACCAACCAGGCAGCTATATTCCTTCAAACAACAGTAAGTACCGGTACAACGGTAAATTCTCTTTCATTACATCAGAGGGTGGCTGTCCATTGTAGTATGAAGAGGAGAAGAGAAAAAAAAAGACTCTATAGTGACAAGTTATTTCCTTGATAGGAAGAGGGTTGGTTCTAAGTGCAGCTAACCAGAGGTTCTGTCGCCACCAAAACCAGACTCCAGGAATCCCGTTTGGTTGAGATGGCTAACATCACCCCGAGATTTTATGGTCCACTCGTCTACATCGGATATGTGAAAGATGTGCACAGAAGTATTGAGTATCTTTGCAGGCCTCCCGCTAGGGCAAGCTCGCTTGTGTAGGGATCTGATGGTGCCTCCGTGACTCACTACAACCACTCGCTCACCTGCAAGTCAAACATGGTTCGCGATATTAAAGCGATAGCTGGACAAGGATCGTTGAAATAGATGGTACATGTTTCCTCCTAGGACCAGGAATTTTACAGGCAAAAATAGACTACTCAAAGTCAAAAGTACTCGTTCTCTGTTATTTTCATGCGTTACTTGTACCAACGACTGCTACTCAAATGTACTACTTTGCAAGTACTCGTGAGCTTTCTATGTCAGGCTTTCTAGTTTCTTTTGCTAACATTTAAGTGTCAATATGCATCTGGAACTGAGGAAGTCATTGCATCCACATATTATGAAGATAAGAAAGCATAAATCTAGTAGAGATTAGTAATGATCGACAGTTTACCTCTATGCTTTGCTGCAATTCTTTGAAATGAAGATGTCGAACGCTCATATAATTTATCAAGACTTTCGCCACCGCCCTGTGTATGCAGGAAAAGGCATCACTTGAGATTATTGGCAGAGGACAAAGTTATTAAACTGTAGCTCGCATGCTTTATGTACTAATCAACTTTACACCCTACTTGTTCTATGATTACAGGAGTATGTATTACTGTTACCACAAAGTAATTCTAAAGGTCAAAAAGTTCTAATTCACACTATAAGACAGACATCTTTGGGACTACAGCAGAACTGTATGCAACTAACCTATCTACATGACTACATGTACGAAGGTGTTAGTTTCAAACTTGAACCATAGCACTGAGAACTCGGGCGGATTCAGCTTACAGGACCTTCCAATATACAACTATCCAGTAAAGGGTCAAGAAAACTCCGAAAATAGTAATGGACATGTAGCATACAGGGATGTCTTGGCTGGTTTTGTGGGATAAAAATGCCTCGTATGCTTCTGGGGAAGCTTTGGCAGCTTCACTTAACGAAAGGCCTTGTAGATCCCCTAAATGCCTTTCTCGTAGCCCTGGTTCCTTGATGACCTGGAAGCTTTAGGGAATCAGCAAAACTAGGGTAGCAGATGTGAAATGAATAGAAGCCAACACAATCTCATATAACAAAATGGTTCAAACTTGCAACTATGAAAACACTTGATATCAAGCGGATAACCAAAAGGAGTATAGATAATGCAGCACAGAGCAATATTACTAGTCAAACAAGGCAGCCTAAGAAGCCCAAATTGAAAGAAAAAAAAGCTGTGGCAGTGCTCATGCCTCAATACCGCCGCATCTATCAGCAATTGCTTGCGCCGTGTCAAAAGCTCGTTTCAAGTCGGAAGAATATACAGCAGAAATCTTAGACTCTTTGGATAATCGATCAGCCACCTTAAACAACAAACAGAAAACTTCCATTCATCAAGTGGGTATTATGCATCTCTCGTAAGCACCAAAATAATAAGCAATAGATTAGGACACAAACATTTACCAAAGCAGCTTGTTGTCTCCCAACTTCATTCAGGTCAACATCGACATGTCCCTGTAGTGTGTGCAAGAGTAAGACTCCATTAGGTCCCCCATAAGACAACGAGGTCGAGGGGACACAATTGAAACAGACAACAAAGGGTAACTAAACCAGGTCAATTTTCAGGGTTCCAATCAAGGAAAATGGCCCCATAAAAATGGTTATTCCGATTCTGAACATCAGAGAGTAAGAAACTTTGCCAGAAGCTACGATCAAACAACCAATAGAGATCAATTACACCAAGTTTCTAGCAGCTCCATTCATAGACTCCAACACATGATCGCTAGAAAACTAATCTCGACTACACGAGTGGGAGAAAGAAAGCTAACCTGAATCCTTTTATCAGCATTCCACTCCGTCTCGCCGTGACGAACAACGATGATCTCCGTATAAGCCGGATGAGCAGAGCTGCCAATTAACAAAAAAAAAAAAAAAAAAATTTCACCTCATGATTCAAACAAAAAAACCCAGAGCGAAAATGGGGGGTGAGAGAGAGAGAGAGAGGAATGAGAAGAAGCACGATATTGGACCTGGGAATGGAATTGGAGTCCGTCATGGATACCGACTCCGTCACGTCCGTTTCGACGAAGAGAATCGGTCGGCGACCCGATCGGCGGCGAACAGATACCAGACGTGGCGTGAAGCTTCCGGCGACGGGGAGTGTCAAGTGCCGAAGAAGGGTAATGGAGTGACGCGGAGGAAATGCTTGGCGCGGCAGTTGTATAGTGCCACAATTGCGCAGTGTGGTCATCTGGGCATAGATTCGCCCATTTCGCTCCTATGGCTGGGTTTTCGCCTTTTCGGCATTCCTGTAGAAGTAGAACTGGATTCGGCTGAATAATTATATGGGCAATGTCTATCTTTTACCCAGATCTTTCCAAAATTCTTTTATTTTACCCAAATCTATAGAAATTCTATTTATTATCCAAACGTTAACTCGTCGTCAACTTTTCTGTTAATATTGCTGACTCAACATCACAAATCTGAGTTGGCTTCTGACGTGGCGGTCAACATATCATTTTATATTTTAATTAAAAAATTAATAGAAAAAAATTTAATAAAGTGAGTCGTCGTCCACAGCTTCCTCCTCTCCTCCCTTCAGTTTCTTCTCCACCATCGCCATGCTCTCGCACTGCAGAAATGTAAAAAAAATTCCCAAATCAATTAGCCTCTGTTTTTTACAATTTCTCGATGAAAATGTTGAACTGGGTAATTTAGGGGAAGGGTGGGACGAAGAAGAACTTGGAAGGAGATGTGGTTGCCTTTAGGGTTTATTTCGCTGATCTTGGGCATGCTTTCTGGGTCTTCGGACTGAAGCAAATGGTTTCCGATTCCGTAATCAAACAACCTGCAGGAAGAATAGAGACCCAAAATCGAATCAGAACCCTCTGTTTTCCCTTCGTCAAAATCTCAAATTGGGGGAAAGACGTTTTACGTACCAGGCGCCGTCGAAGTCGTCGGAACTCTTAATCGAACAAGTGTGATGAAAAGGGGGAATTGGCAAGCGGGAATTGCAGAAGGGAAGTGGGGAAGGAAGAGGGGGATTGATGGCAGAGATGGTGGTTCCAGACCCAGCAACCCTCTTCACGAAGGTCGGGGTTGCTCATCTCGAGAACCAAGTGCTCGGCAGACGCCATTCTCCGTTCCTTTCCGGCCGGCGCTCCTGCGCCGCCAGGGTCAGGGCCACCAGGTCCTCCGAAGGGAGCATTCATGGAGAGCGAATTAGGAAGGTTCGCCATTTTCCTTCCCTCCAAAAGAAACAGAGAAAACCTGCCCCTGACTGATTCCCCTCTGTATCGAGCGATTCTCGCCAGCAGACTCCGATCAATGGGTTATAAATGCAAAACGCGATTGCTCCTGAGCGACTATGGAAATGAATTTAATTGGAAGTTCATTTATGTGAATTGAATTGGGGGATTGAGTTTCTCTTTTGGTGGTTTTCATTTTTGGAAGCATACGAGACACGTGTTGTATAGGCCTAGAAATCGAGTGGATTTGCAGGGGGAACGGTGGAGTACAGTGGGGAGAATGGCTTATTTATTTAATAATTTTTTATTTTATTAATTTCTGATATGGACGCTGACGTGGTCGCTGACGTGGAGATCCGTTAGTAAAAAATTAACGGTAACAGAACGAATGCCCAGACTATGAACAGATACAATACGTTTGAATAAAAAATGGAATTTCTATAGGTTTGGGTAAAATAAAAGAATTTTGGAAAGGTTTGGGTAAAAAATAGACATTGCCCTAATTATATCAGACGTCAAATTTTCTCTTCTCTTTCCCCTTTTCTGGTATAATCACTTTTACTAATCAGAAGTGTGCTCCGGTATTGGGCCAGCCAGAGTAAGAAGGCCCTGGACACATATATATTCCTTTTCTACAGGCCCCAAGGCCCAAGCCACATCCTAATTACCACTGATTTTTAATTTGAAGGTATTAAACTGGAATCTCTTTTAAGTAATAATATATATTCCACCTCGTGTTTGTTCTGTTTTTTTATTTATTTAAAGTATATTTTCATGGAAAGAATCAGTCCATTGATCCACTGGTGTATGAAGAAGACAGTTTTGTCCGCGAAAGTGCAAAGAGATAATTAGGATGCCTTGTTCGGCTGGATCCAAAAAAGAATGAAGAGATTTTGAGGGATCCCTCTCTCTCTCTCTCTCTCTCTCTATCTCCAGCTATTTATTTTGGGGTGTCAATGTCATAATCAATTACTAGCAATGGGCCCGGCCCGTTGGCCGGTGTACTATAAAATCGGTATGTGTACTTTGTTGTATTACATTGGCGAGTGATGTATAAAATATTGAAGCAATTTGAATTTGTAACTTCAACCATTTCATCAGTAAGCATTGATCCAAGTTTGGAAAGTACAGGTTGGCAAAATCGAGGAAAAAGTTACCTGCTGGTGATGATAGACAATATCCCTACTACAGATTGCAGCATCCATCACAGTTACAGGAAATTGAAATTGATGTTGTGAAAAGTTATACACAGACTTGCTACCAAGGGAAAAAGAAAAGCTAACTTGAACTTGTGACAAACACATGTATAACAAAATGTTGTTGTAATAACCCAAACATATCCATGGAATTGGTAACTTCAAATTCCTATTGTCTTCGGTTAATGATAAACCAAGCTATGTACAATCAAAGCATCAAATTCAATAAAAACAAAGCATTGAGAAACAGCCCACATATGTGCAAAATACTACTAAATAAAAGGTTCAGAAAATGCCATTAACCAAAGAAAGATTAAGCCAATACTACTTGTCTTCCTCAAATTCACAATCAAGCTCATGTTTCCTTTTCAATCCAGTTGATGTTGTCCCTCCAAGATTAAGAGTACTTGTATTAGTATTGCTGGCCTCCTCTAAGATAGGAGCAGGCTCTGTGAGGGATTGACTTGATGTGTCACCCAAATGCGCAATCAAATAATAGCTTCAAAACATGAAATTAAGTTTGGTACCATTTAGGTAAACGAATTTAATTACAGATGGAATATTCTTCACTTACCCTAAGTGGATCATGATCCACTCTAACCATGCAATACTCAACTTGAGGATTCAAAAAGTTGAATTCAGTAACATGTAATTTGAGAATCATATTAATAACTTGCTGGATCTGTGGAGGAATAGGCTCATTTTTCCTCTGATTTTCCTGGAATAAAACATCAGCCATTACTCCGAAATGCAAACCTTCACGCTCCAAAAAAGGCAAAATCATTCAACGAAAAATAAAATGGCAAAAATCTACTCCACCAGTATCATCTTCCAAATGGAGTTTCACTCTACACCTACGGTCAAGATGAAATTAAATTGAACAAAGTTAAGAGTTTGTATCTCTCTTCCACTATGATAATTCCTATAGCAACAAAAGGTGCAGATCACAATTTCCAAAAAAGAGTGAAATAGGTTAGCATACTTGGCTTTAGCAACTAAAGATGTCTTTTTCCTAAAGTTGACAACAAAGAAAGGGTATATTGTTAGATAAATTGGAGGGATCATAGTCTTAGCAAACATTACTATCCTCCATATTTTTGAATTCATTCAATTCAGCTTGGATCTTTGCAATCATAACAGGTGCATTAAGACTTCCCCCTCACCCCTAGAATGCAATAATAGAAGCTCTTAAACTTGTATCATATATGAAAGTATTGTTCTACACCCTAACAAATAATCACAAACCCAATATTGAACTAATGCACTTCCGGAATGTCAAGATTTTCCTTTAACAGCGTTGCTCCAGTAGATGACAGGCAAAGCTCCCCTTATATAACAGAAATAAAATAGTTAGTCTTAAATCTAATACTTGTAAACATAATGGGCAAACAAATGTTGAGTGTCCAGAAGCTTTGAATTCATCCACAAACACAGAGGTTATGCCGAGAATGATATATTTCCCTTGACTGCGAGAGTTAATTTCATCCAATTGATTGCCAACACTTCCCCATTAAGAGACCTTTATTTTCTCCCCTCTGTTAGCAAGTAAACACAATGTCAAAGCAAAGTAGATTAACTGGCCATCTTTCAAAAACGAATTCAATGTAAAAAAAATATGTGGGTTGCTGTTACTAACTCATAGACCAACAGCAGAGCACTTCGGAACAAAATTGATGACGGGAATTAGAAGTCAATAGGATTGCATGCCCATCATAAAAACAAAAACGGAGAGGAAAAAGAGATGGAGAATCCCATTTAGAGACTTCGCAAAGCCAAAATAAGAAGAGACCCAATAGAAACTTACATCTGCAGGGGAGATTGCTCCAATTAAGCCCTCCTGATGCGCCATCCTGAGTCAAACAATGATGGGGAGCAATATGTCGGCCCTCCGATTAGAGACAAACGGTAAGAGCAAGGCTTGAGAGGAAGGACTTCGACTCCGGCACTGCCAAGGGATGCAGGAGCTATCGGGGAAAGGACACCAAGGCCGCAAGATGAAGGTCTTCGAGGTATTGGAAGATTGAATGTTTGGCAAGCTACTCGATCAATCTTGGGCGACAAAATATATAGGCAGGCTTGAAAGGAAGATCTTCGATTCCGGCACGGATGAGGGTTGCAGGAGCTATCGACGAAAAAACACAAAGGCGGCGAAATGAAGGTCTTCGATTACGGTAGGGATTGGAAGACAGATTATTTTTGGACGGTGACAGAGAAGGGTAAAGGGTTCAATTTCCGGTGGGAGGCAGAACGCGAGAAAGAAAAGTTCAGTGAATTGACGGATAAAACCCTCCGCACTGTGCGGTGGTTCCAGGAGAGGCTGACGTGGCAAAAGCAATATTTTGACATTGCCTTATAGTGTTTTGTAGACTAATTAATTAATTAATCACAGTCGAAACAAAATAATGACTGCTTAAGCTTTAATTTGACGTGCATTAGCTTGGCGTTGGCTGGCTTGCATGGAATCCTAACCGCCCTCGGATTTAACCATTGCATGACGATAGCCCAGCCCAGCCCAGCCCACTAACAAGAAAGCCTCCTTGGAATTCTCTTGCTGTGGATAATGCCAACCGCTAGCTAATGTGAAAATTGATTGTGAATATCAATGTCCTTAGTCGTTGAGAAATTTTGTTAGTATTTTAAAATGTATATATACTATACAATAGTGAACATACAGATAATGTATATTGAATCGTAGTATAGTTCGACTCTTACGGTGTCGTACATTGTTTGAGTATATACTAATGAAAGTAATTACCAAACATGTAAGAGTCTCATAGACATTCCAGGAATAAAAGATTTTTCCAACAATTCGAATTATTGAAGCTAAATAATTTGTTGGTTAATACGAGAATGGATACACTTAAATCGGCTAAATTGCAGAATCGACAAAATACTTGAACGAGGGGAATCAGTCAGCCATGGTGGAATACTCTGACAGATACCCGTAAAAGAGCGGGATGAACAAGGGAATTACAAACAAAAAAAATAGAGCCTCTCAATCGGCTAAGTCTCCTTCCTCCATGGACAAAGTGACACACTGTACTTCATATAAAAAGAAAAAAATCTATCCTCCATCCAATCCTCCGCCGCGCGGAAAGCTATGGCAGACGACGGAAGAGTCCGGACGGTGAGGTCGGAGATGAAGGAGCTGATCAAGACGAAGGAGGAGCTGGATCGAGCCAAGGACGAAGCGACGCAGTCCTGGCTCGATTCGAAGCCGCTGATCGACGAGCTGGAGAAGCTGCAGTCCGAATTGGACGCGGCCAAAAGCAGGGGATCGGCGGCGAGCGCGGCGGTGTTGGAATTGCAGTCGGAGGTGGAGGCGAATCACCGGGAGGTGAGGTCGAAGATGGAGGACGAGGTGAAGGCGATGAAGGCGACGAACGAGCTGACCCTGGCGGTGGACCTGACCTGCAAGGACCTGGAGGCGATCAAGGCGGAAGCCGACGAGCAGCGGAGGGAGCGGCGGAAGCTGAAGCAGGTCCTCCGGATGCGGCGGCAGAGCCTCCGCGCGCTTCAATTGAAGCTCCGCGCGGTGCGGATCGAGGCCGCGGCGTTCGCGGCTTCGGCGGGGGACGCGGCGGCGGTCATTGCTCTGTCGGCCGAGGCGGTGGAGGAAGAGGACGGCGGTGGGAGGGTGGAATTGAGGGCGGAGGAATACGAGGCGCAGACGAGGAGGGCGCAGGAGGAGACGGCGCTGTCCCGGTGGAGAGTCTCGGTTTCGGTGGAGCAGAAGCTCGCGGCGGAGGCCAGCCGGAATATTGCTCTGGCGAGATTGAAGCAGGTGTACAGTAATTCGAGCAATTTTAACAAGGTTAACGGAGGGAAGAGCCGGAGGAAGGCGGCGAGGTGGGAGGAGGAGGAGGAGGATGTGATCGTGGCGGACGAGGAGGTTATGGCGGCGCCGGCGGGGATTAAAGGAGGAGCGAGGAGCGATGTAGTGGAAGAGGAGGCGGCGGCGACGGGGGATTCGAGCGGCAGAGCTGGAGAACAGATTGTGATTCCGAAAGCTAGGGCCCGGGCGATGGCGGCGGAATCGAATCGCAGGAGGCTGCCGCGACCTCCGGCGAGGAGATCGGCGAGTCAGGGTAGTAGCGGGAGGAAGAGAGTGGTGAAGAAGAGAAGCAAGCCGTCGTTTTTCGCCAAGGTTTCGAGCTTCATAAGGGGAATTAAGAAATGGTTCCGCTGATTTCTGAGTCTTCCCTTTCTGATTTTGGAATAACGGGGTGGGATTTTAAGATCGCCGTGAAATAATCCGCCGGACGGCCGGAACCATTTTTTTTTTTCATTCCGATTTGATTCCTCGGAGAATTTCCTGTGAATTTCTTTTCTTTCCGCTATGAATTCTCTGTATTTCTGAAATGAAAATGTAACAGTTTCGGGCCAAAGTCCAGGACGATGAGATTAAGATTATGATTTATTAGCGGGCCAAGCCCGCCACAGTTGTGAAGCCCAATATGTGAATGGGCTCCGTCCTCTCCTCGCGGAGTTTTGAACTCTCCGGCTGCTACTTCAGTTTTCTTCTCCAGCAGTGGTCGTCGTCGTCACTCGTCTGTTCTAATCTAATAATAATCAGTAGCTCCGGCGAAGTTCCATCATCGGGCAAATTCCTCCTCCGGCTTCAATCGCTCGTCAGCAGAAGAATGAGCAAGAGACCACCGCCTGATCCCGCGGCAGTCTTGAGAGGCCACCGTGCCTCGGTGGCGGACGTCTGCTTCCATCCCTCCAAACCTATTCTGTTCAGCGGGTAACCAGATGGTTTCGTTCCGCCTTGTTTTCTGTAAGATTATCTTTCTCAGTTTTTCGAATCGGAGTGTGTTCCAATTGCTCTTGTTTCTGGTTCAGCTCGTCGGACGGTGAATTGCGGATTTGGGACATAGTCCAGCATCGAACGCTGTCGTCTTCATGGTAATCCATCTCTTCCGAGAAATCGCGGCGGCGTTTCAGTTCAGCTGTTCTTAGTTGAACGATTCGATTCGATTTCGTGCCTAATTTTTTGCTTTGTTGTGGGAATAGGGTGCACAGTGCGGCTCACGGCATCCTAACAGTGGCTAGCAGCTCTGAAATTGGAGCCAACAAAGTAATTAGGTACCCTTCTCTCTTTATAAATTTGATTGGTGATTGAATTTCTTGTAGTGGGTAAGGATAATATTCATTTGGGTTGGTGCTTTGGTTCAGCCAGGGGAGAGATGGAACTGTCAAGTGCTGGGATATTCAAGATGGTTCCCTCTCCAGGTACCAAAGAATCATTCTTCATTGCAAAGTGAATGTTTATACTGATTTCTCAGGAACCCTTTTTGTGGAGTTGAAAAAGGGAATTCATCCACTGACAATGTGATTGGTAATTTCTTCTGTCGGCGATCTGATCAGGGCGCCTCTTGTTACCATTAAGACAAGCTCTTACCACTTCTGCAAGCTGTCACTAGTCCAAATGCCGGCTGCTGGTGCTGGAGCAGCCAACTGGTGTAGAAATCAACAAGAGAAGGAGAATGTGGGTGTTGTCTACGATGGTAGAGGCAATCTTGGTGAAGATGAATCAGAGAGCTCTAATAGTGCCGAAGGTTTGCTAGTGTGAGGTGCCCTAAGTGTGTAATGGTACTGTTTTTCAACAATGGAACTGTGTCCTATTTATCAAGCGTTACTGAAATGCCGTGTGTTCTTTTTCAGAAGATAGTCATTGCGGCGGACCAAATTGTATTGCTGTAGCAGGGGAGTTGACTTCGGAGGTGAAACCACACTTTGTGTTTCTGATTGTTCATTGGTCTGCCAAATTTTTTTAGCTTTTCATTTCTGGGTCTTCACAGCCTCGAATGTCCCTGGTTTTGATATTCATGAATAGGTTGAGTTATGGGATCTTAAAAGTGCTGAGAGGATTGCACGATTACCTGAAAGCAGCTCAACTGGCTCTCCTAGTATTTCTGGCAGCCAAAGAGGTCCATATTGAATCTCAAATGACTTAAGATTGACAATATTTGCACACTTGGTCAAAGAAAATCAACATTTGATTAATGCTTCGTTATTGTTATGTCTGACATTCTGCTGACTGGGGGGAACAATTTTTGGTCAGGGATGTGCATGTCGGTTCAAGCATTTTTACCATCGAGTTCACAGGGATTCCTAAATGTCCTGGCTGGGTATAGTCCTGCTTTTTTCCGCATGTTATTTCATCCATATCAGTTTGAAAGAATTTGTTATGTTGGATTTATAAATGATTTAATTGTTGGCATTCTCTGAATTCATTGGGAGTTCTTCATTTCATAATAAATATTGTGCTATATAATTGTGGAATCCGCTTTAGGACTACAGAACTGTTAGTTGTAAGGAACATTGAGATGGAAGTGTTTTGATCCCTAAACTAGGGAAGACGACTTTCCATATTGCAGATCATCAACGACAAATATTGCTGGATTTCCTTAAGTAATGTGTCTTCTGTATCTTGATATGGCAGTTATGAGGATGGTTCCATGCTTTGGTGGGACATTCGCAGTGCTGCAGGTCCTCTCACTTCTGTGAAGTATCACTCGGAGCCTGGTGAGGGCTAGCACTAAATCACCCCTTTTCTATTCCAATTCCTCTACTAATGATATCGTTTGTTTGTCTTTATAAAGAAAAAAAAACGATATCGTTTGTTTGTGTTCTTTTTGTAGTTTTAAGCATATCCATTGATGGGTTCTGCACAGGAGGAATCTCTGGATCTGCTGATGATAAGATTATGTTATACAGTTTCGATGCATCCACGGTATTACATATGATTACGATGCTCTATTCAATCACCATCTCCTCAACCGCTTCTGTGTCCTAATGTTTCATTTTTCACAATTTGACTGCACAAAACAGGGCTCTTGTATCATAAGGAAAGAGATAAGCTTGGAGCGGCCAGGCATATCAGGCACCTCAATTAGACCAGATGGAAAAATTGTGGCTACTGCTGGTTGGGATCACAGGTTCAAGTTTCTTTAACCCTTGCATCTTTCATTGAACTTCGCAACATTTAGACTGAAAAGAACACGATCTTCTCAGTTCTCACTTCCTCAGTATTGCCTTCGGTGACAGAATAAGGGTATATAACTACCGCAAAGGAAATGCATTGGCAATTTTGAAGTATCACCAAGCCACGGTATGCCATCTTTTCCTTGACCTTACAGTTTCTTGCTCCAGGTTATAAGTAGCAAGTATGTCCTCTTTGTAAATTTGAATGCTTTCTTCCCCTTCTATGTTAGTTCTTATTCTGTCTTCGTTGAACTTCTGTCTTTGTTGAGTGCAGTGTAACGGTGTCTCTTATTCACCGGATTCCAAACTTTTGGCCTCTGCTTCAGAAGACTCAACAATTGCTCTGTGGGAATTATACCCCCCTTCTATATCCAATTGAGCACAAAGCAGTTCACCTAGACAGAGTAACTCAGTAACCCTTCATTTTACATTCATGCAACAACATTCAACAAAGCTTCTTTTCTAACTTCTAGTTCACCACCCTGCAGTTCTTCCTAATATGTAATCTCTCCCCACCACTTCCAGCTAAGCAGACCAATGCCAGCCATTTCCACTGTCGAAGCTCCGAAATCCTTGTAGAAGGGAACTTTCTTTAGTTGACACTTGACCACCATTGAGGCAGTCGTTTGCTATCCGACATCAGAGCTTGGTCAGACTTGCAATCCCAAGTTTTCTGCCAACTTAGGTTCTGCATGAACAATGCATCGAGCGATGGGTGAAACCTAGGGTTTGCTCGCTTGAGAGCACTGCACAACTACGTCTTTCAACTCGATACCCTAGGTTGGATGTCAAACTTTCTGGTAATGTTTCTCCAAGGGCTCGGCAGGTCTCGAGAGCTGCTTCTCCTTGGCTGAACGCAAGCGGCCAGCACGAGCCTCCTGTCTGAATTTCCCAGTTAATCGGAAACTGAAGCGATCGACTACTCTGTCAAACGATTTCTATGTTTAGCTTCCCGGTTTTCTGTCTGTGAGTAATCTATCGGAAGTTTGATTTTCTTGCTTGTGAGACACGATACAGTATGTCCGTGGAACTTTGAAGCTCGAATCACAGAGATTTTATTATTCATTCATGTGTCATCAAAAGAATCTTCTTTACAACTGAGATCCAAAACTAATCAATCTGAAACTCAAAAACGCAACAGAACTGCCGCAATCAACCATCAAATCCGAGTAATCTCTCAAAAGAGTGTCTCTGTATCCGATTGAGCTGAAACTTCCCACTTCAATTCAGCTTTTGGCGCTTCTCACCCCCTTGCTGCTCTATTTCGGGAAAGTTGTCGTCGACCTCGCTAATATCTGCTTCCTGCTCTGTTCTCGGATAGCCATGGCCGGAGGATGCACTGCTTCCGCCGGTAAAATCTGGCGGAGGTGGTTGACGTAAAGCAGGGGGAAGCGGAGGCTGCTGCTGGTCGATATTCTGAAACATGTCGGTTACCTGAGGATGATTGCCGTGAACGGCCCTGCTTCGGCCGGTTGAATCAGACGGCGGCAGAGGAATTGAAGTGCGGGGAAGCGAAGGCTGCGGATCGGGATTCAGAATCTTGTCGATTTCCATGAGATCATCATCGACCCTGTTCACATCCCCTTGCTGCTCTGTTTTTTTCTGCGAGTCTTTCCTGTCTGCGGCGCTGCTTCCTCCGGTTGAATCTGGCGGCGGCGGCGGTCGGCGTAAATTGGGGGAAAACAAAGGGTGCCAATCGAAATTCGGAATCATCAGTGGCGAATTGATCATCAGACGGTGAAAATCCAGAAGCAGCGGAGTGGGTTTGAACATCGGAACCATGGGAAGCTTGAATTCCGGTGTCTGCACCAGAAAACTAGGAGGAGGAACGCCGCCGCCTAACTGCACCGCTCCTCCCCGCATCGCCGCCTCCATCTTAAACGGCAAATGCGAATCTTTCTGCTCCAAATCACGATTCCCACTTCGCCCCTGTTCGTCTTCTTCCGGCGGCGCCTCCATAAACGGACGAATCTGAGATTCTCGATTCTTGATTTTCTGTTCTACTTCTCCGTCTGAAATCTCCGCCTCCTTTCTAATTTCTTCTTCCGAACGTATCAGCTGCGCCGTTCGATTGGGAATCGGAATCTCGCGGCCTCTCCGGTTCCTCGCGCCGCCTCCGACGCGGTATTCTTCGGTCCCGACGAGATCCGAGACGTAGTCATCTGATTCTGGGTCAGTGACGTAGTCGTCGTCGCCTTGGTCGTCTTCTAAATTGCGGCGGTATCGCTCGTAAGGGTCGAGTTCATCTTCAGAGGAAAGTTCGGGCTCTTCTTCTTCTTCGTCGTCGTCGTCGTCGCCGGCCGCCGGAATGCCCGGCAAGTTTGTTCCTTCGAGGGAGAGCCTGTCGCCGCGGTTTGACTCGATCGTCGTCGGACGGAAGAAAGTGTAGGAGCAGCAGCCGATCACGAGCAGAATCGTCGACGCGTGAGTGCGGAGCGACTGAAGGGGAATCAAGAAAGTAAAAAAAGAAAGAAAACAGAGTCAGCAAAAAAGAAAGAAGAGAAAAGCAATCAAGAATCGAAGCTTAGTCAATGGAAGACTCACCGAGAAGATCATTGTTGATTATTGAGTCCGGAATTCCCACCGAAGGGAGAAATGGCGGGAAGGAAATCTCGATTAAAGAAACCAAGAAGAAGAAGAAGCGCAATTGAATCAATTTTTTTCTGGGTTCAGAAAGAAGCAGGCTTTCCTGCGGAGATGGGCTAAAGAAGATGCTACTACGGAGACGCCATTTCTATCTCTCTCTCTCTCTCTCTACAGATGATTCCAGAGCTGCTTCTTCTGGGAAATGAGGGAGAAGAAACAGATTTTTATACTGTGATCGGGATTATGTTTCAAACGGAGAAGACGATGGCGCGCAAGCAAAGGGTTAAATGGGCCTTTCTTAGGTGGACTCATTTGTCAGATGAATTTAAACGGCCCAATTCAACTTGGGAGCCCAAACCCTTTCCTTCTCGGGCTTAAGCGTCAACCAAGTCCAGCCCAGTGGCTGCTGTTTGAGTGGGTGTGATGTGGTCAGCTTACAAATTTGAAAATTTTCTCAACACTTGTAGAACGGAATGTAGTTGATTGAATTACTTCCAGTTTTTATTTATATATGCTAGGATATGACAGTCAAACGCATTCATATTGCATTAGGTCAACCATTAATTTGTTCATATTGCATAAGGTCAACCGTCAATTCTAATGGTCGGCATGTTGACAACTTTAACATACAAATAATTTCAGCCCTCATGAGACACTTTGATCATCATCGAAAGTTGACACAAATAATAATTTGGGCAAAGTTCAGAATTTAAAGTGGTTAGGGATTCACTTCAGAGGGGTAGACTTATAGAAGGGGGCTAGATTCAGGGGGGTTGGGTCTCGGGTTTGGGTTTAGGGTCAGTTAATTGGGTTGGCTCGCGGGTTTGGGCAAGAATGGCTGACTGAGCGGGTGAGGGTGAGCTGGCGGGTTGGGTCGGGTAGTCGTTTTTTAATGTTTAAATGTGCTGACTACGTCTTTCTGTTAGCCACGTAACGGAGGTTAACGGAGAGTGACCGAACTTGGACTGTTCAACTAATTCGAGTGACTATAAATGGAATAAATCAATTCGGGTGGCAAAAGTGAAATTTTTAAGCAATTCGGGTGACCAAACTTGCAGTTAAGCCAAATAAGTGCAAGCAGAAGATTTTCCGACCCACGATCGATCCAAATCAATCTCAACAATTCGGATTATCTGTAGATGGATAGATATCAAATCGTCATTAACTCATAAATGAAACATTAAAAAAATAACTAGCTACTAGTTCCTGACCATAATTTCAACTAAAATAATGTAACCCACCTCATAACTCTCCAACAACCTCTACTTATTCCAATAATTTATTCTTACAAAAAAATGGAAAAGAAAAAAAAATAAAAAATCTCCTTAATTTTTCCACTGATAGCAAGCCGTGAACTCTCCGTTAGTCAGACACGGCCCAGTCTCCTTGACGATCCACGTGCAGTACGTGCGGCAACGGCGCATGTCCCTGTCCTGATCGTAGATATCAAACCAGTGAAGCCCTGTTCCCCAATCCATGCTACAGTAAAACATCGTGGTTCCAAAGATGTTGGGCAAAATCCTGAAACCGCGGTATGTCTCGTGTGGTTTCACCACATGAACGTTGAGATCGTCGTCTCGAGATCTGCAGTGTATTATCAGCGGTCGGCCTCCACCGATCTCGTTCTTGATCCACAACTTCACGTACGTCTCTATTGGCCACAAACTATGATCCGTCGTCGCCGTCGCAGTCGCCGTCGCCATTGGCGTTGGCAGGAGGAGAGTCAGCAACACCACCGCCGCCGCTGAAATGACTCTGTTCTGCTGCCTCGTGGTGATCATCATTTTTCCTTTGTGCTTTTGTGTTAATTTGTGTCTATTAGGATTCTCTCCAAGTAAGATTTTATCTTATGTTGTTTGATGGAAGGTTGTGTCGTGATACTAAATATATATAGTGAGATTCGCTACCAAGAAAATAAAAATCTAGTGAGTGAGTCAAAAAGACTTGGTGTAACTTTATCTATTAATGGATGAAGCAAGATAAGTACCAAGCAAAAAATTCCACATGCAAAGTAAGAATGATGAGAATATTGTGGAGAGAAAATTTTACCAATTCGATCTTCCCGTAAAAATTCCCCATACTCGCCTCATGGTAGATAGAAAGGAACGAATCAAAGCACTTTTATGTTTGCGTAATTAAGCTATTAGAGACGGGATTAAGGAGCCTTTAGATGTATAATAATATCACCGTCTGATAATATGTGCCGCTATCGATAGCACATACATACGTGCCCAGTGGCGGATTTAGGGGTGGCCACCCCGGGCCACGGCCCAGCCCTTCCCTGGATCCGGAGTTAGTATAGCCCTTATGAGTTAATCGGATTTAGCCATTCGGCCTAGTGTTATTTCATAATGTGATTGTGTGTAATTAAGAAAATGAGTTAGATGGGCATATTCAAATCACAACTCTAAATTAGCCTAGAGATTCTAACACCAATGATTCTCGTCTAAAGAAAAACAAATAATGAAACCTAAAAGTCTAAAACATAAAAGACTAAAAGAAATATGAGGTTTGTTACTTTGAAAAATTACTATAGCAGTTGGTGGAAATAGGGACGGACACACAATACACATTGATTAGTCATTTAATTTTTCTAGTGTTGACATTGCTCGTTTCAACTTTCAACATCTACTATGGAGATAACCTTTTCAACAATGAAACAAGTAAAAATGATCTGCGCAACAAAATGAGCGATGAGTTTCTCACTGATTGGTTAACTATTTTATTTGAAAGAGAGTATACTATTGGTATGGATGTAGATTCCATTATTGATAAATTCGATATATTAAAAAATCGATGTATAATATATATTGTAAAAAAACTGTGATTTTTTTATCTAAATTTTTAATGAAATGCGGCCCAGTGCTCTACTATGTCCAGGATCTGCCGCTGTATGTGCCTCTAAAAAGGTTTAGAGGCAAATAAACACTCTACAGTGGCATATATCCATTGCCCCCAAACCTCATTTTTCTTGTAGTGTAACAACGACACAAATAAACACTCTACTGTGGCGCGTACAACCTTACGCTAGCTATCCTGGTTTACCTACTGTTTTGTTTGATTTCTCTTATCTGGTCTGTCTTTGAGTCCACAATGTGGCCGTAATTGTTGTGGCTACATTCACATTTAACTGGTTAATCCGCAAGGATTGCTATGACAAGAAAAAAAAAAATTAGTAAGCAAATTGTTAGTTAGCAATTAAAAAACCCCGTAATTTTGATGTCAGTGACAGTGAATGATTGATAGAATATCAACAATATGTAAGTAAGCAAACTTTTGCCATTAAGTCGTCTAGGTATAGTTTCATTAAAAGGGGTCTTTACTCTTTAGGTGTAGAACAAGAAAGTGTAAATCCCACATAAAATAAATCCTATAGTCGTGAATTGACCAAAATGCAAATTCGTAATTCTCATACTGACTCCAATCAATTATCGGAGATCGACCTTGTGATGGTATAATACATGCATGCATGATGCTCAGATGCTATATTAAGTTAGGTGCAAATTTATGAAATT